GGCCACTGGCCTTTAGAATACAACATAATGAAGTTTTTGAGATGTTAAAAGAGAAAAATATGAAAATAAAGCATTCTTCCATGTGGTTGAGGTACATTCAGTATTTCTTTGCTTACTTAAATATAATGGTAATAGGAGATATGGATTGGATTGGATAACCCCATGACCTTGTTTTTCAGATATTTTAAGTCAGGAACATGTAACAGAAAGAAACACCCAAACCTTTCCTTCCCTGATACATAAAATGGCTTTAAGAAAAACTAAATAATTGCAGATAGCAAAACATGATATAACAATATCATAGGTAAAGCATATTGCCAAAACTATTTTACCTGCTGTACTTGCAGTAAATCTTATAGTTGTATCTAAGTCCTTAATTGTTGTTAAATGTTTGTTGCAAATAATACAAAACCAATTCTCAAAATAATACAAAATAAATAAAAGATGTCTAAAAACTATTAATATACCACCAGTAAAGTTTTTAAAATCTTACCTAGACTTTGGTTTATATTTCAAGAAGTTACAGAAATTGAGTTGTTGATCACCACGGCATGAAGTTTGATATACTGTTGTTAAGCAGCGATTGCATTCTTTGCAGGTAAAAAAAGCTTCCAAAGACACACACATAAATAAATATCATGTGACCATTTAAGTATACCTCAAAACCATTTTTTTCTCCAGGTGTAATTTTAAGTCAACAAATGTTATGATCTAATGTTGGAAAATTCAAATGAGAACATGATGATTATTTAGACACCTTATTTGTTCAAATGCTCCAGTTCAATTTCAGTACATTGTACATACACTGTATCAGCACTGGAGAGCATTGTTCTAATTTTCATGTACAGGCACAGACGTTACCTTTTAGCAAACTTACAGAACTGATGAATGTGGGTCAAGTTTGAAAATTTTTTTGATAACACAATTCAAGGAAAACCCATAGGCCTATTGTCTTGAAACCTACAGGAGTGAAAAAATTGTACTAAAATACAGGTTGAGTTAAAAAATGGCATGATCAAGCCATTTTTTTAGTTATGGTGTTTTTTTCTTGCTTTTTTCAGCATATATGCAACACTGATAACATTTCAAAGAAAACTGATCAGACTTTTGTCTTGCAACTCACAGGAGTGATCAATCTTACTCCTTACAACTTCGATGAAATTGTTTAAATTTTAACCGATTAAAGTCATTAAAGGATAATAACTCTTCGTTTTGGCCCAAAAATGTAAATAACAATTTTCCCATACCTGCGAATGGTTAATGAATCCATTTTTACATTCAAAGTCAGTCCCTGTTTTTTTTTCTATAAAATTTGGTTTTTTGTTAAAATCTCATAAGAGATTATAACAGAGTATAGCCATCAATGGAGGTCACGTGGCCTATTATGTTATTTTATATTTCTATGAGTTATTCACAATGTATTTATTGTGAAATATAGATCTCATACGAAGAGTTATTATCCCTTTAATTACAAGTATAGAAGGAATGGTAGTCTGCTAGCTAAAAAACAGAGCTAGAAAATACATGTATATAGCAGTACTCAGACCTCATTCCTGTCACACTGTCTTTTTCCAAACATACTAGTACGATACATGTGCTGGTACAGTGCACATACTCATACAGATAACTATATATATATTATATATAATAAAATATATATATATATATATATATATATATTAGAAGTAAAAGTGCTATATATATATATATATATATAATAAAAAGAAAAAATGAACAGCAGCTATTTTGCCCTGACCGGTTTCATTCTTTTTTCAGGGGGTTTTGTTTTGAAAACAAAATGTAAATGTAAGGTGACAGAAAACAAAACCCCCTGAAGAAAGAATGAAACCGGTCGGGGCAAAATAGCTGCTGTTCTTTTTTTCTTTTTATTATATATAATATACTCGTACAGGAAAATCACTTTTACTTCTAATATATATATTAGGTGTATGTACATATCATTATTATTATAACTAAATATCACTGATTACATATTTGAGAGCTGCAAGTCTACTACATTTGTACTCTACTATTATTTTACCTGTTTTCCCTATTTCTAAATCATTTATCCAAAACACCATTCCTAGAAGAGAGGTATGTTGATAGAATTCTTTACAGTTACATGTATTTCTTTTTAAAAATTCTTGGCTTAGCTGTTGGATATGGTAAAAAGGCTCCTAACTTATCCATTCAGATGTTTGTAAATTTTAAGTGTGAAAGTCCCTGATAAACTTACCAGAAACTGGTTCTGTTGTGGTACGACCTCGGATGGCTTGGAATATTATTTCTTCTTCCTCGTTTTCTCACTGGGACTTGGTTCAAATTTGAAAACTAACTGCGCAATTTCTCAAAGCAGCACTGAAAAAAAATGTCAAGTGGCAGTGAAAGCAGTATTATAATGTTTAATTTTTAACAGAAAAGTCTCTATTACCCCAAGCTAAATATACATAGCAATATATGTATGCCTAGTGCATGGTGGGAAATAAAAGACCCAGTCCGACAAAAAGGTGTAATATTGACTTTGCTGTTTTGTGAGAATGAATTTCTGGTTTTTCTGAACCTTTAGGCCACTGGCCTTTAGAATACAACATAATGAAGTTTTTGAGATGTGAAAAGAGAAAAATATGAAAATAAAGCATTTTTCCATGTGGTTGAGATACTTTAATATAATACATGTAGTTGGGATTGGATAACCCCATAACCTTGTTTTTCAGATATTTTTAGAGCAGGTACGTGTAACAGAAAGAAACACCCAAACCTTTCCTTCCCTGAAATGTAAAATGGCTTTAAGGTAAAGTTAAAAAATCAACATATGATTGGGCATTTTTTCAAAAGTTTCTGTGTTTTGTTTCCAGCATATTTGCAATGCTGATAACACATTTGAAGGAAAACCAATAGGCCTATTGTCTTAAAACCTACAGTAGATAAAAATCTCACTTAAGTACAGGTTGAGTTATAAAATCAGCTCGATCTGACCATTTTTATAAAAGTTATGTTTTGTCCCTTTTTTCAGCATATTATATGCAACACTGATAGTTAACACGTACATTTCAAAGAGAACTGATCAGCCTATTGTCTTGCAACGCACAGGAGTGATCAATCTTACTCCTTACAACTTCGATGAAATTGTTTATATTTTAACTAATTATTGTCATTAATAACAAGTGTACCAGTAGGAATGGAAGTCTGCTAGTTAGAAAACATAGTGCATATACCAGTACTCAGACCTTACGTACACTGGGCTATAACCCTACACTATCAGTCTGTGTACATCATATGGTGCCTGGATTTCCATTCCTACAACTACCATTCCTGTCTCACTGTCATATATTTCAAACAAACAGTATACTCAGACAGTGTACATAGTTGGTAAAAGAGACAAAAACATAAAAGTAAAGTTACCTATTATCAAGGTGCATTCAGTATTTCTACTTAAATATAAGTTGGCAGGGGTAATAGGAACCCTTCCCTGTTATGTAAAATAGCTTCTTAAATAAACTTCTATAATTATAGATAGTTATTAAAGCAGTCTAGGTAAAAAATGTTGTCAAAAACTGTTTGACCTTCCTGTTTACCTTGCATTAGTATGTAAGTCCTAAATTGTATTTTCACAAATCACAATTCTTATATAAAAAATGTTCCTTCAAAACTATATTATACGCAAACTTCTGCTTTTTAACGTACCTGGGCTGGTTAACTTTCCAAGAAGTAATGTAAGTTGAGGTGTTTATCCCCACAGCATAAAGTTCGTTGTGACTAGGCACTGGTGCATTCTTTGCAGGTAGGAAAAAAATGGCTTCCACAGACACACCCAAGGTCAAAATCATGTGACTAAATCAATACATTCAAAAGCTTTGTTTTCTCCATTTGTCATTAAAAATCGACAAGTGTTTTGATCTGATGTTGATAAAACAAATTAAAGCATGACTTTGGCAACTCTTCTGAACAAACGCTCCCATTTTATTTAAGTACACATCATTGAAGAATTAATGTTTTCCTTTTGTTAGAAAAAATGCTATTGTATTTTTTCTTCTCTAACACAATTTCATCGTTGAAGTGCAGAAGCATCCATGAGAATAATGTTTATTCAATTCAATTCATTTCTGTACTGGTACATAGATTGTCATGACCTTGTACAATATGATATACTGATGACGATATAATACAATTAGTGCATTACCATTTCTCTAGTTGGCATTATGTTGCCAATTGTGAATGAAAAAATAATGTTTATTGATGAAAGGATGCAAATGATTTGAAATATCACATAAAAGTTTGTTTTTTTTTTTTTTGAAGAACCAGAATAAATTCAAATTGATATAAATGCTTTAGTTATGGACTTTCTTTATGAGTAACATGTATTATAACCATTCAAATTTATTTATTTATTTATTCAAAATATTTCATACGACACATTTACTATTAGGCTTTCAATTTTTCAAAAAAAGAAAGAAGATGGAAGAATGAAATAATTTTTTTGATGGAATAGCAGAAAGAGAGGAAGGGGACAAGAACGAATTAAGTCACATCTTTTAAAGAAGAAACATTAGGAAAATGTTTATACTGTCATTTTTATTGATATTTTAAAACAATTCAAAAGGCTCACCCACACACACACCAAGTCCCAACACAAAGTAATCTTATGTGGAGAAGTTGAGAAGAGTACCACTCATCTATAACTATTCTAAACAATTTTGACCATAATTACAAAATTGGTGGATATTATCACATTATCCTGTCCTTTCTGTCTGTGATCTATACAACATCATGGAGAAGTATAGATTGGCACAGTTTATACACATCTGTTTGTTAGCTGTAATTATCACAGACAAGCTACACTGCAGATCATTCTCACTTAATACTTTGTTTAATATCTATTCTATACACAATTGACCAAACAAGTTCTGAAACATTACATTGTTTTTCAATAATTAAAAAAGCTATGTAATCTAATGGGAAAATCTTTAGTGTATGTAAACAAGTAATTAATGTGGATGCATTATCCATCAATATTTGGTTTAAATATTTACTTTAGCTCATACAGTTTCTTAACAATTATTCAAAATGACAATGTTTCTGATTTGTCAAGGTGTATTTACAAAAATCAGACCACCCAGAGTTGCAAAGTTTCCAGAAAACTAACCTCTATTATCAGCATTCCCAACCATTTCTAGTGATGACAGAGGGTAGCTTCTAGTGAACTATAAAACCTAGGGTGCAGAAGAGCCTCCACTACTTGTTATACATATTTTAAAAATATCTCATGTCTTCGGAAATTACAATATCAGCAGATTAATGTACACAAATACCATGCAAGGTTCCATCAACCCTGGTGACAGTCAAGTTTATATGGCACCCATTGAAAATGGAAATTAAGCAGGTTTTGTCCTTTTCTGAAACTTCCCATTTATATGGCACAATAACACAAATTAAAATATTAATATTTATAGCGAGTTTCTTTATCTATGAGATATGTAATAATCATCTGATACTTGTGCTTTCATCTCTAAATTTGTCTTATAAAAAAAAGAGTCAAACTTCCATAAAGGTAAAAATACCTAAACTACAAATTAAATGCTATGAAAACACTTCAAAATCATAAAATGTCTAAAGCAGACACTTAGAACATCCCTATATACATGTACAATATAAAAAAATGTATCACAGATTTCTGCAACATGTCTAATAACACATTAAATATCCAGATTATGTTATTTGTGCTTTCATTTTAAAACAATTTAGTTGTGTCAGTCTGCTAATTAGTCCACAACTTGCCAATATTTCTTATCCTTTTTTCAGTAGATAACAATGTCATCACTGGAATAGAATGTTTAAGCTGAAGCTGAGTACTATAACATTTGGGCAATGAGTATAATCTTGAAATTGTCATCAATTCTTCATATCTGAACATTTGCCTTTGACTGACCATTGCAGTGTCTTTATTCTTGACACAATGTGCACGGCTCTTGTAAGTTAACATTTTCCACATCATGTCTGAGAAGTCATTTAGGCATTGGGAACTGTGTTCTTCATTTTTCTTTTTCTTTTTTTTTCAAGTTTATCACATAGCACAGTGTCCTTAGATATTCCTTAGTACTTGATCAACTTGAGAAGATCATACCGCTCATGCTCATCAAAAAACTGACAGAGAATATCAAATGCCTTGTCAGATTTCATGGTCAGGAAGTCCAAAAAGACAGCAGTTTTATCAGAAGATGTCTTAATCCACTCAGATTCACGTTCTGACAGGATGCTTTCTTGGATAAATACATCAATCAACTCAAAGAGACAAGGTTCTGTGATGTTTTGTTTCAGCTTATTTTTGTTCTTCTTGACAACTAAAATAGATACAATGTGATAAATTCCCAGGTTTGATACAAGAAAATACAATGTTACAATATTGTTGCTGGAGGTCCTACTTGCACATTCAACCGCAATCACTGTATGATGCTCAACCTAGTTTGGTTAAAATATCAGACTTGGCAAATAAATGAGCAACATATCTTTATTTTACCCTTTTTAATTAAGAAACAAATAGAAAATACCTTGAAATAAAATTTACTGAAGCTCTTACCTTCCTGCCAGCTCATGGTCAGGTGTGGTGGGAAGACCAGGTCTGTAGGAATGTAGAAACCAGTATTGACACATGGCACCTGTTTTGGTTTGGAGACACCACCAGGCAGATAGGTCTGGTCCAGTATCTCTCCAGGGAAGAGTGTTGGATCCTCACAGTTTTCACTTGTACAGTGGGGGCACACCAAGTATTTGTCAAAGTACACCCCAGGGCACTCTTCACTTATGATGTCCATGAGGTCATCATGACCACAAGCAAAAACAGACCACATCTTTGAGAGGTCTGTTCCACGTACGGCTATAGTGATGATCCAGTCTGAGGTGCTGCTAGCAGGATGGTGACATCTTTCCTGTCGGGAAAAATGAGTTTGACATTCTTGAAGTTCTGCATACACCCCATCCTTCCAATCAATACGTTTGGTCTTCAAAAGTCCGAGGTACTTGTGCTGACGAACGGATAATTTCTCGTATATGCCTTCTGGACATCTGTATGGAAAAAAGTTCTGCAAAGTCAGTTGTGTGGTGCCTGTGGGAACTTTGCCGGGCCATTTTTCATCCAACTCAGGCTGTCTCTCCTGCGTAAGAAGCCATGGAAAGTGGAATGAGATGCTGGATGGAACCAATGGGTTCTCCTGGACTTGATAGCATAGCTCCAGTTTCTGCATCAGTTCTACCATGACATCAGCTTCAGTGGTTGATAATCTGAAAGGCTCACACAAGCAGTCCATTGCTTCTCTGGAAATGATGCCTCTGCTGAAGATATCATCATGGATTTTCTTTGCTTTAGGTTCTGAAATACTCATGGACTGTTGGAGTTTGGCCCGGACAGCATCACTATCGTGATTCAGCACTGCTTTGAGAACATTTGCAAGAACCTCTTGCCTGTGAAACACAACTTTCTTCAGAGTAGGGCTTGAATCAAACCAAATGATGTCACCACGGTCAGCAAGAAAACTTAAAATGTCGCATGTTGCCAAATCGAGACCTTCATTGGAAGAATTTCTCTTTTTCCAGGGTGTTGGAGCAGACTGCAGAATAAGGTCTTGTAACTTGTCCCAGCCAAGTGTATTTTCAGAGCCTTCATATTTCTTGGTACAAACCATGGTGGCACCATCAACCCACATTTCTGGTAAAATTACAGCACGCTCTTTTGCAACAGTAGTAAGAAAACTTTGTAAACCTTCAATTCCCTCCATGGTCTTGGAACTCACCCCAAAAATGTCTTCATGGATGTCTATTACTTGGCCTTGTGACGACATCAGTTTGCACTTCTTATCTTGATAGGCTTGAAGGATAGATGTTTGGGTTTCATCTGTGTTCAGAATTTTCTTCTCAATGCTCTTTATTTGAGACTCATACCATTTCTGTTTTCTCTGCCTGTGGTCTTCAAACTGTTTCTTAATTATAGAACACTTTGCACTGTAGGCTTCATCTTGATCAATATGAGTTCCCACTATTGCCATCTTTATACCTGGCAATTTTTCTTGTACCTTGTCAATCCAGTTTCCAATGTAGAGCTTATAATGTGCTTTATTTTCTGGATCATACTCTGATAGGTCAAATGTGATGAGGACCAAGCCGCGTTTGGAAATGAAAATGGGATGGCCAATTTTGTAGACATCATGTCCGCCAAAGTCATTGATATTGAAGGCAATATTTTGGTCAGTCTCCCATGTCCCCTGTTCCACCACTCTTGTCCTGTCTGCTGATGTTGTGAGTGTTGACTTTCCTCTCTGCAGTGTGCGAGAAAGACTAGTTTTCCCTGCTTCTGTTTCTCCAAGCAAGTTGACCTGTATTCTACTTGACTGGATTGCCTCGGTGGTAGTTAATGCTTCAAAATACCTTTTGATTGCATCAAGTCCTCTGACAGCAATATGCTCTGGTGGTTGTACCAGGGGGTTCCCCCTCACATTTAATTCCACCAAGCTTTTCATATTCCCTATCTGAGGTGGCAGTTGAGTAATGTTATTGGACTCCAGATCCAGCGATTCCAGCCCAGTCATTGAAACGATATCTGCTGGTATATCAGATATCTGGTTGTTACTCAAGTCCAGCTCCTTTAGGTTAGTCAAGCTACAAAGTGCTTTGGGGAATGTAGTAAAACAATTCCAACTGAGATCCAATATTCTAAGCCCCGTCATACCACTGATCTCTACTGGTATGTCACATAGCTGGTTGCGATCCAGATACAGCTCTGCCAGGGTAGCCAAGCTACACAATGCTACGGGGATTGTAGCGATGCGATTGGCAATGATACTAAATCTTTTAAGCCCTGTCATACCACTGATCTCCGCTGGTATGTCAGGTATCTGGTTGGTATTGAGGTACAGCTGCTCTAGGTTGGCCATGCCACACACTGCTGTGGGGAATGCAGTGAAACAATTACAATGAAGCCAGAACAGTCTGAGACCAGTCATTCTAGTGATATCAACTGGTATGTCAGATAGCTTACTGTCGGTTAATTCCAGATGCTCTAAGTTAGCCATGTTCAGCAACGCTGCTGGGAATGTGGTGAAGGGATTCCCACTGAGATCAAATATTTTGAGCCCAGTCATACCGCTGATCTCCACTAGTAAGTCAGACAACTGATTGTCATGCAAGTTCAGGATTTCTAGCTTAGTCATGCCACACAGTACTTTGGGGAATGTAGTGAAAGCATTGGCGTAAAGGTCCAACATGGTGAGGAAAGTCAGGCTGGATATGGACTGTGGTAAAGAAGATAGCCTGTTATTTTGTGCATATATTACACTAACATTGGCACACCTGTCAATGGACTCAGGAAGGTTGTCTATATCAGCATGGCTAAAATGAAGGTCAGTCCATTTCAGCACTATGTCTGGTGTCTCAGACTGTGGAGACAAGTCAAGTCTACGTAAAAAATCAAGACTCTCCTTACATGCTACTTTTCTGCCAGCCATGTCTGAGGAGAGTTTATCTCACCAGTATCTGAAAGTTTCTTCTGGTCTTTATTACCATTACACTGCAGGGAAGGGAGATATCCTGGACTTTATTTTCATGTTTTCCAAAGCAAGCAATGGTTGCCAATAAAAGAAATTTCTTTCCCTATCCGCTCCCCTTTCTTTTTATTATGATGCCTTACAATGTTCACCTAAAACAAAACAAAATAATATTAATAATAAATAAATAAATGACAAAATATCAATTACTTAAATAACATTTTGTATTGTATTTGTGTAAATGCTAAGGAATTAAGTCAATGAGCATCGAAGTTTATATATTATCTAAGAAATTGTATGTAAGGCAGTAAATTAGGAGTTCTTGGTTAACCCTGACAGTACCCTGAAATATTCTGTTAATCATGCAATTAAAGTGAACCGCCAGACATGTATAAAGAACTGCTGACTGAAAATTCCAAGGAAAAGCACAGAAACTTCCATTTGTTAAACATGTAAAATTTGAAAAAAAAACCTTAGGGAAAAAAATCAGGTGAGGCTGAAAAATAGCAACTGATCACTATTAATTTTTGGATTAAAATGTAACAACAATTCACCCTATTTTGATTCAAATTTTCATTATTTTGAGGAGGGGGAAGGCACCCCCAAAAAAAACCCACCCACACAGGTAGGGGGTGTCCCTCCCATGGCTGGTGCCCACCTGTTGTATCTATGGCTCAGCATTTTTATTACAAGCTGCCTTCTCATTTTTATTTATTTATTTATTTATTTTTTGTATACAGTTCAGCAACTTATTGTCCTTGACGGCGAATTAACACTGACCACACCCCATTAATAGGTGGATAACTCCAAAGCCAGTGCAGGTATAATCACCAAAATTCATTTTAAATGTTTACCGAAATGTCTACTTACAGTGTGTAATCAGTCACAGCACCGACAGTCCTAATGACGTGCGAGCGCTCAGGTCATCGTATTGTGAAAGTATTTTTTACCTTTCCTTCCTCACACTTGTTCAACTGATAGGTGTTATCAAATTCAAGATAAGACAAAATCGGTAACATTTTGCTGATTAACATAAACGGTTACCAAGGTGACAATTTAAGTGGATTTTATTTAGAAAAGCGAAGGTATGTGCAAGATTATCGATATCATGAGATAAAATGCAATAAAATTAAATAACTTACGTTATTTTCATATCAAGCGATGCAAAGGTAAGTTTATCACTTGCGCCATCTTACGGCTTCTAGCGCCATCTTACGGCTTCTACTAAAACGAATGCTGCTGTCAGCCAAAAGTAATATGTCCTCAACGTTGAATAAGGCAAGGTGGTCATTTCTTGGTATATTGTCCGAAATATTTCTCCAAAATAGTACATTTTGATTACCAGTGGAGTGATTTCAAAGAAGATAAAGTGTAGGCCTCCCACTTGTATTTGTAGGACTGCTCGTCGCGTACATATGAGTTGTGAAGAGGGTGAGGAGTGAAAAACCGATATCACTTTCGGTCGGCAAAATTTCTTTGTTTCTACAAGTTTGAGAGACAGAAAATAATAGTCGTAAATTTAATCATACAAATACAAGAAGTTCGGCGGCACCTTTCCTCTGTTACCTAGATTGCAGCCAATTTTCAACGAAATTTAATTATAGTAAAACCAGAGAAGTGTCACACAATGTTATATTAGGCCACACTTTTTTAATTTTATGGATGACATCCTGCGCGCGCACCGATTTTCGTCCGTTCTCCAAAAATAAAAAAAAAAAAAAAAAATCCCCCCCCCTCAAGGAAGTCGGTTGTCGCAAACGTCGTTATTGAATTTGCCGGAAAA